GGGGGAATAAAGGCGGGAAGAGACACGAGGAGAGGGCGGGGTTAGAGCAAAAAGCAGAAAATGAGATGGAGAATGATATATACGGGGAAGAAGATTGAGCGCGGATTCGTCTTCCTTCTATTTCCCGCCTTTTTTACTCCACTCTTACCAGGTTCCCTATCTCCGTTGCTTCGCGCGCCACCTTTCCCGCGTACGTTGAATCGCGCTCCCACCTATCGCACCTTTTCTCTTCCTTGTCTCCCGCCTTTTTCTTAACTCTTCCCTGTCTTCGTTGTTTCGCGCTCCACCTCTCCCGCCTTTTCTACACCTTTCCCGTGTACGTTGATTCGCGCTCCCACCTCTCGCGCACCTTTTCTATTCCTTTTCTCCCGCCTTTTCCCCACTCTCACCCGCTTTCCCTCCTTTGCTTCGCGCTCCACTTCTCCCGCCTTTTCACCACGATCACCAGCTCCGCTGCTTCGCACTCCGCCTTTGCTCCACCCGTCCCGCCTTTCCCAACCTTTCCCGCCTTTTCCACACTCCCATCAGCTCTCCTGTCTCTGATGGTTCGCGGTCCACCTCTCCCACCTTTCCCACCTTTTCCCCTCTCACCAGCTTCCCTGTCTCCTCTACAACGCACGATCCACTTCTCCCGCCTTTCCTCCACTCTCACCAGTTTTCCTGTCTTTATTGCTTCGCGCTCCATCTCTCCCGCCTTTTCCCCACCCTCTCCCGCCTTTTCCCCACCCTCTCCCGCCTTTTATCTACCTCTCCCGCTTCATTTCCACATCTTCCGTGTCTTCCCCTCTCAACAGTTTCCCTGTCTCACGCCTTTTCCCCACCCTCTCCCGCCTTTTATCAACCTCTCCCGCCTCATTTCCACATCTCCCGTGTCTTCCCCTCTCAAAAGTTTCCCTGTCTACGTTGCTTCGCGCGCCAGCTTTCCCGCCTTTTTCCCACCCTCACCAGCCGGACGACAGTGCCAGGTGAAGGGGGACGAGAGCTGATGAGAGAAGACAAAAGGCGGGAAGGAGGTGAGAGGTGGAGAAAAGGCGGGAAGCAGGTGGGAGGTGATGAGGGCGGGAAGCAAGGGAGATGCCAGGAAAGCGGCCCAAAGCGTAGGAAAAAACAAGGGAAAAAGGCGGGAAAGATGGAGAAAAAGCGGGAAAGGCAGAGAAGAGAACAGAGCAAGAGAGCGTAGGGGAAGGAGCAAGGAGAGGAGGGAAAAGAAAAGGGAAAAAGGCAGGAAAGATGGAGAAAAAGCGGGAAAGGCAGAGAAGAGAACAGATCAAGAGAGCGTAGGGGAAGGAGCAAGGAGGAGCGGAGGGAGAGGGGAAATGAAGAGGGCAAGGGCAGGGGAAGGAGAAGGTAGGGAGAGGGGAAATGAAAGGGGCAAGGGGAGCCGAACGAAAGGACAGGAGAAAAGGAGAAACCTCTATCAGGACAGCAATGCGATAATCAGCGCCACAATTAGCGGGTTCCAGCGGAAGGTTGGGGGGGGCGGAGGAAAGAGAGAGGCCGACGAAAAGCAGAAGGACAAAAACGCGGGAAAAAGAGGAGATCAACGACAGGGATGAAGGAGAAGCCAACAAAATGGCACGGGAGAGAGAGGAGGAGAGCCCAAGCAGACGAGCGGAGGGGATAAGAACAAAGTCAGTCTTTACGGGCAGGTACTTTCCTCGGAAAAAAAAAAAGTATTGTACAGGTGACGGGAAAGAGTGAAAGAAATGGGAACTCAAGAAAGGGCAAAGAGAGACAGGACATTAGAGAGAAGGAAGGAGAAAGAAGAAGAGGAGAAAGGAGAGGAGAGAGGAGAGAAGAAAAGGAGGAGCTTCAGGTAGGAGATTAGACGGGATGCCAAACTCACCACAGCAGAGAGGATGAGGTGGCAGAGGGATCGGGGAGAGAGGAGAGAAGAAAAGGAGGAGCTTCAGGTAGGAGATTAGACGGGATGCCAAACTCACCACAGCAGAGAGGATGAGGTGGCAGAGGGATNGGGAGAGAGGAGAGAAGAAAAGGAGGAGCTTCAGGTAGGAGATTAGACGGGATGCCAAACTCACCACAGCAGAGAGGATGAGGTGGCAGAGGGATGGGGCAAATACTCTCTCTCTCTCTCTCTCTCTCTCTCTCTCTCTCTCTCTCTCTCTCTCTCTCTCTCACCTCCTATCCGAACGCAGAAGTGGAGAGAGAGAAGGTAGGGAGAAACGACACGACAGCGAGTTGGAAGGGAGGAGAGAGAAAAGCGGAAGGAAGAAAAGAAGCAGCGTCACGCAAGAGACTAGACACGACAGCAATCACTGCACAGTCGGGATGCTGACGTCGCAGGAGGGTGGTGCTCTCTCTCTCTCTCTCTCTCTCTCTCTCTCTCTCTCTCTCTCTCTCTC